TGAGGAACGTGTAACCGCGCCTCTCATAGATCACAACCAATCGGTTGCTACTGTCAACTACACATTGTCCTGACCACATTCGGATTGAAATTACACATTTGGGCTGAATTAAGGCCGATTCTGCCGTCATTAACGGCAGCAGCGACATCGGTGAATAACGGGCGGTCATTGTCAACTACTCAATTACGAAACATGACTTCTGAGACCTTCTAATCCAGCTTCGTATGGCACCACGAATGGCAGGTGTCTATTATGTTCCAGCACTATATTAGTCAACTACTGAACAGAAAGGTGGACTCGTATCTCCTGTTTTATGTAGAGCTTTCGATACATGTACCACATCGTTAGGTACTTTAAAAAGTCATGCATTATTTTGGTATAAGGAGTAATATTCATGAAATGCTATGCTTACCGTCAACCAGTATTATTGTATATACATGGAACAAATATAGGGCTCTGAAAGGAAAATTACTTATGTTCTAGGTAGTCTATTTGGTATAGTTTGGTGGGAGAGACAATGTCAAAATTATCCAAAGTGTTCAAATTATTCATCATTGAATCCACTGTTTCACAAATTTCACAACTGATTTTTGTTTCTGCCTACTTACCAAATTGTTCCAAATGTTGTTTGGGCCCTATTCCAGATAGCATGAGAACTTGTGGCGAGTTGAGAGAACCGGCTGATAAAATAACTTCTTTGTTAGCTAGAGCGGAATAAACTTTTCCATTTTTGATGTATTCCACCCCGTAAGCAGTTTTAGTTTCCGGATTCACAAGTATTTTAGAAACTCGAGATCGTGTCTGAATTTTCAAATTGGGTCTCTTTCGTACCGGTCTCAGAAACGCTTTCTCAGCACTGCACCTTCTTCCCTTACGAGTAGTTGACTGAACGTAGGACACCTTGAAATAAAATTAGACATTAAAGATATATCGTATTTTTTTCATAATGACTGTTAAAATAGGAAATCATGGAATTTAAAAAAAAAACTATCTTTTTTTTTATTGCAGACATCATTTGAATATCTTTTTCTGTCAAAAAAATTATTGTTTGACACTGGGTCTGTGAATGTTCAAGTTTCTTGGGCTACGTACGTTCGATGAGCGATTATTAATTTTTTTATGTAGATACGCTCGTCTCAAACATATGTTTACAATTTCAGTTATTTAGCATACATTTTTTGTTGGTGAGAGGCGTAAACGTTAGAAATTTTTTGCGTGTTCGGTATTTTCTGCTATCGAAGAAAATGATTCAAACTATTTTGTGTTAAAAATAGAATTGAGTGCTCAAAATCACCTGAAACGTTGAAAGTGGTATACGGTGATTGTACTCTGAGTCAAAAAAAAAATTACAAGCGTTCAACCTTTTCGCAGAAGGTCGAGAATGACAACACTGGCCTTGGACGCCCAGCACATCAACAACCGATGAAAATATTAAGAGGGTGAAGAAAACTGTAGAGAATCACTATTAGAGAAATTTCTGCGCATGTCGGCATGTCGGTTGGCATACGCCATGCAATTTTCTTGAAAATTTTGGGCATGAAGCGTGTGGCAGCAAAGTTCGTTCCACAAATGCTGAATTATGATTCAAAAAAATCGTCGCCTGAGCATCGCTCAGGAATTGTTGAACATTAACGGTAATCAAGATTTGCTTAAAATGGCCATAACTGGTGACGAATCATGGGTATATGGTTATGACATCGAACCTCAAGTCCAATCATTCCACTGGAAGAGCTCAGAAAGCCAAGACCAACATAGTGCATTAGAAGTTCTTGCCACAAGGTCGTACGATCTTGAAGTTAAACACGTATCGTGGATAAATAATTCATGGGTTTTGCATAATGATAAGGCACCTGCTCAATCGTCCTTGTTTGTTCTTGATTTTTTGGCCAAAAATAACTTTTTCACCAGATTTGCTCCCCTGCGAATTTTCCTTGAAGAGACCCATAAAAAGTATCTATAAGTTTCGCAACGATTGCGGAGATAAAAAACCAAATCGCTAAGAGAGCTCGAGGACATACCAAAAAGTGCATATCAGAACTGCTTCAAGAATTGGAAAAGTCGCTGGCACTTGTGTTGAATTGTTAATTGTCTTGAAAAATTGTCCTATTCTCAAAATCCAAATTTTGTCACCTTCTCCTCAACAAATTCTATTTCATTTTACGTCTATGAAATTTAAAATGAACTAAGTGGCACTATTATATCGGGAAAACGAAATAGGGTTTCTATTAGATCTCGTTTGAAATATCTGAATGAAGCAATAATAACGCATCCGAACAACGCAATATCGCAAATCAGAAAGTGAAATCTCTTTTATCCTCACATTGCACAAGAATTCTTGTGAAGAACTTTAATTATCATTTACTTACTTTGTCCCACTATTTTACCCATTTTCTTCAACTCTGCTCGCACTCATAATATTGAATTTTTTTTAACAGTATTAAAAATAATATTATCTGGGTCTTTTACAGTTCCATGTGTATACCAGGATGTACTTACCCCCAGTTGATTTTTGCCATTATAATCCACGTATGGATGACCTGCTTCTTGAGCTGCCTTTATATAAGCTTCTGCGGCTTTTGTTCGAAATGGAACATCACTCACTGACAAAAAACCACCTACATTGTGATATCCCTCATCTTGCATTTGAAGGTGAGAATCTTCTGACTTGAGAAAATAGGGAAACATATCCTTGTAAGACCATCCTGGATTTCCCATAGCTTCCCATCTATCATAGTCAATCGGGTTTCCTCTGACATGTATCATGTAATTGATGATTGAACTTCCACCAAGAGCAAAGCCATGAGGCCATTCCATTCTACCTTCATTGCAACCTGTTGAAATTTTCACCTTTAAACTAAAAGTTTTGTTTTCCCTCTTTCTGTTCGTTTCAACTGTACTTTCATGGTGAATGCACGAAAAAAAAAAGATTTGTTACTTCAGAGAAATTTATTTAGTCTAATTCATTTCATCATTGTGATTAAATATCATTCATTCCAGATGATAATTCCAGATGATAATTTTGGGGAGACAAAATGAAATTCTCATTTCAATTTCTCTAATATTTCAATTCAAGAGGTATTTTACTTTGACAAATGAATTATAGGGGGGAAATCAAAATCTGATGTGTCCATACTTTTCAGCAATACTCTCAAGGGCAAACACTTTTTCAAATGTTCTTGTTTGTGAAACTTGAAGTAGTTAGTTTTTGGTATAGTAATCTTCAAAATACAAATTGTTATTCATTAAAAAAAAACTGTGTATTTCATCTTCCCTCAAATTTGTATTCAGTATTTTGATGAGCTGTCGAGAATATTAGTTTCCATGTTTAGTCGCGATCCTTTGATCACAGGCATGTTAGGCGTACACATTTTCGAACCATCAGTCCACCCTTTCGTGACTATGTCGTGAGTGTCATACCAAGTTTCGTCCAAATAGAAAAGTTGCCGTTGTCCTTGTCTATATTCGGTTATTTGTTATTTGGAAGATACCCTCTCTTCAGTACAGTACAGTACAGTTTTCACTTTTGATTTCTGTTAGAGTTTTGATATATGGGATGTTCCTTCCCCGCTTGGGGCTTTGTTCACGAGATGGAGTTGTTGATAATTAACAATCTTTCTCTCAGACGAAGGTTTTATATATGTAGCGGATCCGTGTTGAAATTAATCGAGTCCCAGACACTTTGCTGTCTAGGTAGGATCTTTACTGTACTGACGAGAGGTAATACTTCGAAACCGCGGTTTGCAAGTAATCTACTTGAATAATTTCAGCACGGTCCTGCTGCTGGATGAACGAGAAATATCTGCGAGACTAGCCTCTGTGAGAAATCTTGCATAAATGTCTGTCGGATATAATTTAATATCCAGCGTGGTATTAGCCAGGGGAGTAGTTGGTATCTCTCCTCGATAGTTTTCACTTTTTTATTTACAATATGTACAAGTTCATTCTCCTACATACGGGAGTCTGGTTGTGAAAGGAAAGTGGATAGGTATAGGGGCTGGGAAGCCAAGGTATTCGAAGTTGTTGAAGAAGACTCCATGCATCGGCTTACCCTTGTTTTGTTGCAGCGAAACGAAGTGATCTCTGCGGCTTTTAAATGAGCGGTGACACGATGACAGAGTTGTGATCAATTCGTTCAGTGTCGAAAACTAAATCGAGTTGTGATCAATTCGTTCAGTGTCGAAAACTAAATCGAGTTCACTAGCTGCTAGGGCAGCTGCCCTGAAGAGAAATGCTCCAATTCATGCTCTCTCATGATCGCGGACCATGCAGAGAATGGGATCCGAACACCTGACGACTTTTATTATTATTATAATGAAATATTGTCATCGTACACAGGGTTACTTTGAATCCGATTCACCCAACAAAAATCTTCGAATTATTATGAATGAAAAAAAATTCTTAATTAATTTTAACCTGACCTTTTTCTGACTGTCAGTTTTGAGAACGCAATTATTCATTTTATCTTGATTTTCATAAACTCGTGTCATAAGAAACCAATAATGAACTCTTTTTTTATTAATCTATATAAAAGATTTAACATTTCATAATTTTCTATATCTAAACGAAAAACAATTCACGAAACTAGAAATATNACAGAAGTGTTAACCTCAATCTAAGGCGGTGACTGGGGATGAACAAAAATGTCCACCCCAATCTACCGCTTGGAATGAGGCTGGACATAGCAGATCAACTCGTGACGTAATACAAAGGCAAAGGCGTAGGCGCATTTGCGGCGCCCATGCCAAAAGGAGAAAGAGAGCGAAAGAGGAAGGTGTATGCCAAAAAGTTGGCATAGAAGTTATACTTCTATACCAAGTTTCTGTTTAATGACAGAAATGCTCGCTTTGCATCCTAAGCCAAAACAGAGTTTATTTGAATATTGTTTTGAAAAACTATCTCTCATAAAGGAAATGAATTTAAAACTGTGTGGTGCCGACGAAGTCAATTTAATTGTGGGTGATTTAAACAATACGTCCATAAAATTCGCTGTTACGGCCGCCAATATCGATGATCCATCGAAGTTGGCAACTTATATGAAGTCGTTCGATCCGAACTTGTCAGGTTCATGAAACAACAGTTCTCGTAAAGACGGTAAGAGATTTAAGAATATTCACACAACTTGGGAAAATATTATTTGTTTTCGATGTAACGGGGTGGGCCACAAGCAAATGAATTGTCATCTAGATCGTTCACAGGGTGATGCTATAAAATACTGCAATTATTGTCGTCGTAGGGGGCACACAGTGGATAGTTGTTTTAAAAAGTCGAAAACAACCGACATATAATTAGATAAAAAAAAAGAAACAGTCACAAGGGATGATAAGCGGGTATTTCTGGTAACTAAAAATCGGGATAAAAACAAATTCTTCAAAAGTATTCTCATTGGGGATCAGAAGGAAACATGTTTTGTAGATTTTGGTAGCTAGTGTTCCCTCGTTACACGCAATGGCAGACAAACTTCAGTTGAAGGTTGAAAGTTGTCCCAACGAAATTATATTAACGGCATTTGGAGGTTCTGAAATACCAGTAACAGATTGGGCCGCATGTAATGTCAAAATAGATGATGTCGCATTATCAATAGAAATATTGCTAGTGGACACTTGTATACCGGGTGCGGAGATAGTGATTAGACAAAATTTTAGTGAGGATCCTGGAATTACTTATTCGCGGATTGGCTCTCGATTAACTTTCAGTTACGCTCTGACCGTGAATTCAATTGAAGTTCAGCCTCAGGTCGTCCACATTGATGTGGCAGAGGCGTCAGCTCAAAATGAAAGAATTTCCGAATTGTTTTACATGCAATAAAGGAAAATTAGGCACGATATCTGGTATCGAAATGTCCATCAGACTGAAAACAGATATTCCTATTATTTATCGGCCATATATTAGGTTATCTGATTCTGAACTTCCAGAGTTGATCAACGAATTGATACAGAGTGATACTATCAGGCTTTCCCAGTCTCCGTTTGCAAGTCCTGTGAGAATGGTGAAGGAAAATAATGGTGATACTCGTTTGTGTGTCGATTACAGAGGGGTTAATAAACAAACAATCAAAAAAAAATTTCCCTCTGCCTGTCATTGAGTCATTGAGGATTTGATTGACAGATTAGTCGGTCAGAAATTCTTCACTGAGCTACTTAGCTACTGAGCTACTCACTGAGCTACTTAGTAGAAATCATCCTTGGACTTGGGAAACCGAACAGGAGAATGCCTTTGTGTTCTTCAAAAAAAAAAATTGACGTCCTCCCCAGTACTCCTCTTTCCGCAATGGAAAAGAAACCATACTGGATACAGATGCCAGTCGCTGGGGTGTTGCTGGAATATTGGTACCTACAGTTGAACGATGGAATGGAAAAAGCGATTGGATTCTTCAGCAAAGCAACCACGCCCACCGAACAAAGATATCATTTGTATGAACTGGAAGCACTAGCCATCGTTCGTTCCATAAAAGAATTCAGACATTACTTAGCTGGTATTGAATCCAAAATCTTCACAGATTGCTCAGCTGTTCGTAACGCTATGTCAAAGAAGGATCTAAACCCGAGGGTTGCCAGATGGGTTCTGGAATTGCAGGACTATGATTTCGAGATGGTGCACAAACCAGGTACAAGAATGACTCATGTGGACGCACTGAGTCGTAACCCAGTGGGGGAGAGAAAAAGTCAAGGCATATATGCTGCGATCTTGTCCGATGACAACTGGCTTATGGTTACTCAAGAATCCGATGCGGACATAAAAGTTATCAAGAATATTATCTTATCGGGTGATCAAAACTGCAACAAAGACATTTTTGAAAAATATGATGTTCGGAGGGGAAGAGTATACCGTCGTACTGATCGAGGAAACAGGGCGGTATTGCCGAAAGCTTGCATATGGCAGATTTTGAGGTTTAATCACGATGACGTAGGCCATTTTGCTTTTGACAAAACCTTGGAGAGAATATCAAATAAATATTGGTTCCCAAAAATGAGAAAAATTATAAAAAAATACGTAAAGGTTTGTATAAATTGTTTATATCACAAAACGGCGTCGGGGAAAAAGCCAGGATACTTACATCCAATTACAAAGATTGCTCGGCCTTTTCACACTATACACATTGATCATATAGGCCCATTTTGTAAGAGTAAACAGCGGAACACTCAGGTGTTGGTTTTGGTAGATGCTTTCACGAAATTCACATTCATCAAGGCGGTAAAGAATACCAAAACAAAGCATGTTCTTGTTGCCCTGAATGAAATTATCCAAGTTTTTGGAGTGCCCAAAAGAATTATTATCGACAGAGGTACCGCGATAACATCGAGGAGATTCAGAGAGTTTTTGTTTGGAAAAGAATACCGGTCACCACCTCAATACAGTAAGGATGCCACGAGGTAATGGACAGGTGGAGAGATACAACAAAACTATATTAGACTGTCTAGCCACGATGGGTGCCATCAAAGAGGATACCGAATGGGATGAGAACGTCTCCAATATACAGTTGGGGATCAATAATACTTGGAATAGAAGTATTAATACTAGCCCAACAGAAATACTCCTTGGATATAGGACAGGTCCGCCCAATATTGGCGAAATAGAAGATGGGAACGCTGTGGATGTTAGTAAGCTTTGTGAGCTGGCTGCCCAAAGGATTCACTATAATTAGACTCGTCAAAAAGAAGAGTTTGATTCGCATCGAGCACCACCGTCAATGTTCAGCGTCGGAGAACTCGTGTTAGTGAAAATTTCTTCAATTGTAAATATGGGTTCAGGACGAAAGTTGGTTCCTAAGTGGAAGGGTCGATTTCGAGAAAACGATCGATATGAGATTACGAACATACCCGAATGTAAAGGAACACGGTCATCCTACGTGGATATTTATGCTGCAGAACATATGAAAAGATGGACCCTTGGAGATGATTGCTTCTGAAATGAGGTGTGTACATTTTGGGCCGTCGGGAACGTGTTCCTGTGCCATGTGGGGCCGTCGGGAACGTGTCCCTATGCCATGTGGGGCCGTCGAGAACGTGTCTCTAGGCCATGGTGGGCCGTCGGGTACGTGTCTCTGTGCCATGTTGGGCCATTGGGAACGTGTCCCTGTGCCATGTTAGGCCGTCGGGAACGTGTCCCTGTGCCATGAGAAAGTGAAAGGACTCTTAGTCCCGAAGCTGTAGTACTACTTAGAAGGAATGGAATCTCAAAATGGGGTTCTGATTCCTTCGAGCAAACGATGTAATTGATCAAAACGTTTTTTTTTTGGTTTCAGTTACAACATACCAGCCATCATATGGTGAACTGGCATCACTGTCGACGGTAACGATGGAGGCAAATGATGACTGAGGGCAGAATTACATATTCCTTCCGTTGCATTGTTTGGTAGTTGAGGATTCATAAAAACAGATAAGGTATGGGTGGAAAGATTTGGAAGAGAGAATGTTAGTTTCTTTTTAGATAAGAGTACAGTTCGTTGTTCAGTAACTTTCTTAATTATTATTGAAATAAAAGGGTGTTTAAGTGGAGATTCAATTCATTTCATTTTCTCAAGTTCACACAGACAATACAATACAAATTTCGAAACTAAATAAAAATAAAGTTACTCAAAACTGAAAATTTCATTGACAATGTTTCCCGATACAAAATATGTTTTGAAGAAAAAATATCATCTGAAATAATTTGTTAATCAAAACATTAATGTGTCTGAATCCCCAATTTTTTAAATACGCTGTTACTGCAAATACTTTGAACAAGACATGTCATGAAAAAAGAAGTAAAATCAATATACTTTTTCAAGAATCTTAGTTTCATGATTTTTGGTACAATCATCGTTGGGTTTTTAAAAGAGTATGAATTGTATTATCATTTTCTTACCGTCATCATGAGTTTGAGGATACTGTGGAAACAGCAAAGGTCCACCTCTCGTGAGATTAAGAAAAAAGCTCACTATATTTCCTATCACATTGTAATTTCCGTTGATGGTTGGCAGTAATACAATCAAAACCACTTGAAGAAAAAACAGGGATTTCTGTAAAACATTAATAAATGAATTAATGAATTGATGGATGTAGCCGTTACTAATTGATTTGAGATCATCATGAATATCAAGAAATAAAACTTCCTTTGTTCTTATACCACTTGTATTTGTAACGTTACTGCAGTTTCGTCCTACAAGGACATTTACAAACTGATACATGAAAAACTACAGTGAGTAACGTCCTTAAAGACTTCATTTACAAAAATGCCACCTTACACCTCAGGCATCTTGAAACGATTATTGAAGGTGATGTAACCGTGAACTAGATCAACTAAGATGTTCAATTTATATTCTTCGGAGTGTCGATGGAAAAATTCGAAATTGATGTTGTGTCTTATCGAGAACACAAAAACATTAGCAAGCAATGAAAACTTCTACTCTGAAACAATCAGAGGAGTTATCTAAATTGAAAAACGACATGGTAGTATGAATAAAAGGGATAACGCGCAAAGGTTACCAGCAACACATCGTATCACTCCACAAAATCAAACAGACCGCACAACCCTAAGAGCAAACCTCAGCACTCGATAATTCAGGCATAATGACAAATGTAGGTAGGCCAACACATCTTCCAGCTTTTATTCAAATTCATCTGGCATAAAATCATTTCAGAACAAATCACAAAAAGTGACAATATCAACTTTTTTCCTTCAATACGAAAATATTTTCATAGGTGTTTGAGTGAATATTCATTTCAAAGATGCGAAGGATGTGTAATATGCAATATCAATAATTTAGTTTTCCCATTCAAATTTATTTTTCTGACATGTGACAGCAGATTTCGTTCCAAAATTGCAGAATTTTGACCAAAAAACCGTCACATAAGCATCGCTCAGAAATTGTTGAATAACGTCCTTGGCGATCCAGGTTTACCTAAAAGGGTCATAACTGGTGACGAATCATGGGTTATGACATCGAAACCAAACTTTAATGGCCTCAAACGAAGAGCCTAGGAAAGCCAATACCGAAAAAAGCACGCCAAGTTTGATCAAAGTCAAGATTTTGCTCTCGGTTTTTTCTATTATCGTAGCGTCGTGCATCAGGAGTTCTTGCCCCATAGTCCTACGGTCGATAAAGAGTATTATCTTGAAGTTATGCGCGGCTTGCCAGAAGCGATACGTAGAAAACGTCCGGTATTGTGAAAATGAAATTCATGACGTTTGCATCACGATAATGCAACTGTCCACTAGTCAGTAATTGTTCGTACTTTTTTGGTCAAAAACTACACCGTATTCATGCCTCATCCACCAGATTTGCCCACCTGCGACTTTTTCTTGTTCCCAGATCAATAAGACCCATTTGAGGACGGTGTTTTCAGGAGATAAAAATTGATTCGCTGAAAGAGCTCAAAGACATACCAAGAAGAGTATCTCAGATCTCATATTCAGAAATAAACAAACGAAAAATTTGAAATTCCTCACCATCAGATTTGCCCACCTGCGACTTTTTCTTGTTCCCAGATTAATAAGACTCATTTGAGGACGAGGAGATAAAAATTTATTCGCTGAAAGAGCTCAAGGACATACCAAAATAAAGTGCATATAATATCTGAGGGGAATTAATTTGAAGGGACAAATTTTTTTGAGAGAAATTAGTTTTCACTTCATTTTTTGAATAGACAGCGCAGCGTTTACAAAAAATGTATATCAAAAAATGAAAAACTTCTATTTGCTTGAATAGAAAAAGGTATATATAGGAAAAAGGTGTGATTCGTTTTTGGAAAATAAGCTTTTTGGCTTTCTAGTTCTTGAAGGAAGAGCCGTTTCCAAACAACTACTTTCGAATGAACATTGAATTATTCGAAAATCACTTTTTCTTATTCAGTTTGCACTCCAAACATTGATGTCCTCCTTCCTTCATAAGTCAATCACATTTTTTTTATAAAGATAGAGAAGTAGGACGGAAGAAAGGCTTTTTCACCATTTATATTTATGTAATGATAGAATATATATCTCTTCATATAAATTTCACTTACGTAATATGGACATTTTTTGATACGACACGGAAGTTGAAAAAAGTCAAATGCTGTAAAATAAAATACACTTAGAAATTCCTACTTTCTTGTTATATAAAGTGATTCTGTAGGTTACCAGTTATGTGATATTATTTTAAAAGAACAATATCGTGTTCCATTAAGATTATGGTTTAACATACACTGTCGCTCCATTAAGTTGAATGGTTTTTTATTGTTTGAACATTGTGCAACTATTTTGTGCGATATATGAAGTTTTTAATTACTTATACGGCTTGTCAACAGAATCCCAAATAATTATTGTCCATATCAATTAATCGATAAGTTATATTTCTATGAACTTGGCCGATATTTGATGGAAATTTCAGTCAGTGAGTTTCAAACACGAACAACAATACAGAACATAACTGATATAATTACAGATGTGGAAAATAATTTTTGGTGTTATTTGTGGTAGACTCAACAATTCAATATTTTCTGTGAAATAAGTTACAATTTTTGACCAGTCGCCGCGGTTAGTATAGTTCAAGTAAACGATATAGTGTAACCTACCTTCCAACAGCACCCATTTAATGATATAGTTAGGGAGCTTACTGATTTCGTTATTCAATAATCATTTCTGATTATATAACAATCACAATAACTATATAATGTGAATATGATAAAAATACATATAATAATATATACAGGGTGTAACATAAGTACGTTAGCATATTCAAGTGACGTATTCCTGAGACAATTTTAAGAAAAAAAGTTTTTATGAGCTTATGTCGAAAATGATTCGTTTCAGAGATACGGGGTGTTGAAATCGAATTTCTTTGTTCGCTTTTTGAAAATAACTCTTGCAATAAATAAGTTATTTGCACGAAATTCGGTACCCGGGGTTTTTTTTTGACGTGGAAAATCATAATTTCGTATCAATTTTCATGTAACATCTAGAGAGCGCTGCGTACGCTGTAATTATTTATTTCAAATTGCCCTAACTTTTTTGACAGTAAACNTGATTGAATTTCCGTCAGCCAAGCCGTATGCAAAAACCATATCAGCCATTTCAGCATTCGTAAAGTCGGGCATGGTACCAAAAAATCACTTTATAAACTCCGAACTGTGAATTTTTCAATTAATAGTTGAAAATGTGACAGCGAACTTCTATTTTTATAAACAAACTTTCATAGCCTACTCGATTTAATTAACTTAATTTGCAAGTGATATGCATCGATATAGAAAATTGTAAATATCTCGAAAACGATCGCCTCCAGCGTTGTTGAGGAAGTGTACCTTTTTTACTTGTAAAAGGTGTGAGAATTAGGTTTATTTATGAAAAGTACCAAACGTTTACTGTCAAAAAAGTTAGGGCAATTTGAAATGAATAATGACAGCGTACGCAGCGCCCTCTACATGTTACATGAAAATGAATACGAAATTATGACTTCCCACGTCAAAAAAACTCCGGGTACCGAATTTTGTGCAAATAACTTATTTTTTTGCAAGAGTTGTTTTTAAAAAGCGAACAAAAAAAATTAATTTCAACACCCCGTATCTCCGAAATGAAACATTTTCGGATTCAAGTTCGTATAGACTTTTTTTTATTAAATTCGTCTCAGGAATACGCCACTTGAATATTTCAACGTACTAATGTTACACCCTGTATAATAAATATTTCGTTTATATAGGAGAGTGGAAAAGTGGGGATTCAAATAAGAGGGTGATAATTGAAAATACTTCTGAATACTTCTTATTCACATATGTATACATTCGATCGCTTCAAGAACACTTCACTAACTTTCTTCGAAAGCTTATGATACTTTCTCTTACATATTCTCTGTTTCACTATAACTGTCGTCATTTAAATCAATAATGAATTTATTTCTACCATTAATATGGAAGTGTCCATTCTCCATAAAATTTTTTTCAACTAAAATTACTTTTTAATCATTTTCTGCCAGTCATCTTCAGTAATTTTAAATACTTCTTCCCTAATTAGCTCTATTAGCTTCTTATCAAAATTTTAAAAATTCATTTTTACGCCTGATGCTTTGTTTCAATTTTCCTCGAATAAACTCAATGGGATTGAAAACACAAAAATAGGGGGGAAATCACAGTCTGATGTGTCCATACTTTTCAGCAATACTCTCAAGGGCAAACAAATGTTCTTGTTTGTGAAACTTGAAGTAGTTAGAGTTAGTTTTTGGTATAGTAATCTTCAAAATACAAATTGTTATTCATTAAAAAAAACTTAGTACTTCATTTTCCCTCAAATTTGTATTCAGTATTTTGATGAGCTGTCGAGAATATTAACTTCCATGTTTAGTCGCGATCCTTTGATCACAGGCATGTTAGGCGTACACATTTTCGAACCATCTGTCCACCCTTTCGTGACTATGTCGTGAGTGTCATACCAAGTTTTGTCCAAATAGAAAAGTTGCCGTTGTCCTTGTCTATATTCGGTTATTTGTTATTTGGAAGATACCCTCTCTTCAGTACAGTACAGTATAGTTTTCACTTTTGACTTAATTATTGTTCTGAATTTTTATTTTATTTTTATTATGTTGACGAATGAAGACGATTATTATTATTACCATTATTTTTATTATTTGTGTGATGCTTTCCAAAAACTGTGAGAAGTAGATATAGTGCTCGTAGGAGAAGATTAAGTTGATGATGAGAGAACAAACTTCGAATGAAAAATCTAAAGCATCATCATCACAGACAGAAAGTGGCAATGAAAATGTGTGATTCCACATGAAATGGAGACAGAATACATGAAAACTTTTTTGCGAAATTTCTGTTTTTCCAAATATTTATATGCACTGAAGCTGAGTATATCAAATATTGATAATTTTTTATCTGGTTACTGGTTGCGTTCATTATTCTCAATGAACATATATGATACTCAATAATTACTAATTGACATATCGAAATGCATGTTCTGAATACTTTTTACATAAGCAACGAAGATTGTTCAATGTTGCTCACCTTGAGCTGATATAAAATACACGCACTTCAAGTAAATTATATAATACCTATATAATAGTTTCGAAGCATTCCCAAAAATATGATCTACATTTTTCAATATCAATATCAGAGTCCGTGAACTGTATCTAGTACGACTATAAAATTAGTATATGAGTAACAAAACAATTTTGGTAGAAAAATATTGGATGTAAATAAAGAAGGTAATAAGAAGAAGTAAATAAAGAAAGTTATACCCAGAGTTACTGATTCTAAAAAAATCGTGAATATTACACAAGAGATTGTTTGAAGGTAGTTGACAATGTTCATAGGTGCATTTCATTAGTTCGGACTTCCATTGTCTAAAATGATAAAATTATTTAAAATCCCTGAAAAAACCAATAAAATTGAAAAGAATTGCTGAATATTACTGGAGTTTAATCCCAACACCAAACCGTTATATTTAACACTTCGAAACGTGTTTCAATCACCAAGTGATTATCTTCAAGAGGAAGATTAAAGTTCAATCTTGATTGAGTTCAATCTTCCTCTTGAAGATGATCACTTGGTGAATGAAACACGGATCGAAGTGTTGGTGTTGGGATCAAACTTTAGTAATATTCATTACTACACGAAAGGTTCCAAACAGTGCATCACAAGAATAGCTGAAAATAACAATTATAGTAAGCAAAAACCCTGAACTGAAATTACAATGAAAAGAATACAAGCAACAATTGAAAATTGAACAATTAATGAGAAATAAAAAATTTCAATTTAAAAATTAAAAGATTTCCAACCAAGTTACTTCACGACGTTTCGTATCATCTTCGGATGATGACTGAATGACGATTTTAATTTTTTAATTCTTGTTAAGTGTTCAATTGTAAATTATTGCTTGTATTTACTTTATTGTAATTTCAGTTCAGGGTTTTTTGCTTAATGTAATTGTTATTTTCAGCCATTCTTTTTAATTTCTAAGATTCTTTCAGGGATTTCAAATCGTTTTATATCATATTCGACAATGGAAGTCCGAACTAATGAAATTACACAAGAGACGTTCGAAATTCATCAATCATTAATTACGTTATGCTTCCAGCAGTGGTAGTTCGTAGAAGCACCAGTAATGATTGAAAC